AGCATCCTGAAGTATTCAAGCGGACCCAATGTAATTACAAGAGTCTCTGAAAGAGTCTAAGTGATTAATGAGAAGGACTTGACTTGCCATCATTGACCTTGAAGATGGAAGTAAGTCATAAGTCAAGGAATGCAGACAGTTTCTGGAAGCTGGAAAAAAGAAGGAAATGGAAAACTAATGCAACCATCTACAGTATGTCCCTCAGGATGGATTAAAGGAAGTAATCCTCAGCAAATGAAACTGCACCATCTACAGCTACTCAGATCAGATCAGCGAGTAAGAGTAAGAAGAACCAAAGGTTTGCCTTCACTGAATTTCAGACCGGAGCAGAGGGAGCAGAAAAGCAAGAACTAGAGACTTGTGGGCAGTCCACTGTCTGCACTATACTGGAGAGAAAAACCAGAGTCAAGAATACGGATGGGGGAAAACAGCATCTGCAGCGGTGAATGAAGAGTCTCTCGCAGTGCTACACTTCTTAAAGTGTTTAATAAGGGAGTATCAATCAAGGTTCTCAAAACCAACAGCCCAGAGCTAACGGCTATGAATTTATAGTTCACCTTATTGGAAGATGCCTTGAATCCCTACAAGAAAAGAGGAATTTAGCGTAGAGCCATCAGGTTGGAGTCGCAAGGATTTAAAAATGCTAATACAGAAGAGGCCACTCAAGCCATATTCTGAAGACACTACATGAAGACTGAAAACCATACTATGGCTCTATTCCTGCTGAGCTGATCATAAAGAGAAGCTGGATTGTCCAAATAGTTTGGTTTAATAGAGTTCAACAAGGTTCTTCCAAATTCTGCAGATCACATAGGAAGTTCTTAGAGTCATCTTCGTATTTTCATTGTTCTAAGTTCTATTTCTTTTCATAGGCTCTATTTTCTTTTCTTTTACCCTCCAGTTTAAGGCAGGATCTATCTAAACTCACTGTTGTTCAACAGAAAGGGGGCAGAATCGTGTTCTTTGCTCTGGAGGGCTACATCTCATAAAATATGCTCTACTGCCACCAACTTATTAATTCCTTTCTTCCCATTTTTAGGAACTTATAATGGTGGCAGAAAATGATTTGGGAAAATGGAGATGGCAGTGTAAATGGAAGCAGATTTGGGGCTCTTCACACAGTCACAGTGGACTAAAAAAAGGAAGAGGCCTAGAAGTTTTGATACTAGCTACTCGGAAGTTATACTTCTAAAGTATATCTAATTCAACCTAGCAATAGGAACATCTAGTTAATTATTTCATTACATTAGTGCTTTTATTGTAGATGCTCAAGAAATTCTAGTTTAAATTATTTAATGCAAAAAAAAAAAGCATAAGTCAAAGTTACCTGAGAATATGAGTCACAAGCAACATCTGAAGTACAAGAAATGGATAGGAGAAGCTCTCACGGAGGGGTGGTGTCCACATCACACGGGTACACTGGAAAAAAAAATCATAGCATATGGTTGTTGTTGTTGTTGTTATATGCCATAGAGTCGGCCCCAACTCATAGCGACCCCTCCTTGGGTTTCCGAGGCAGTATCACTACTGAAGTAGGATTGCCCAACCTTCCTTCCGAGGAGTGGCTGGTAGCATATGGTATATTTGTTAAAATTTCTAAGTAAGACATAGCAACTAAAAGCTATTTATAAATACAAATAGAAGCACTTTTCACATCTAATTTAAATGGTGTTATGAAACAAGAAACTACCAGATTTTCTATAAACAACAAAACTGAGAAGGGAGAAGTACTTATTGAGAAAGGGACACACATGGCTTAAGATCCTGTGAAGTATTAAATTGTCAACAAGGTAGCACCAATTATAGGATAAAAGGAAAGGGTTTAAAACCTGCAAGAAAAATGTTACACCCAAACTCAAGATGCTTCATTTGAGTTGGTTAATTATAGATTCTCTTTTCACATGAATTTTAAAAAAGTATCTATAGTCAATTCTTCAAAACTTTTTGTAGTATCAATATTAGCATTATTAATTAATTGCACATTTTTATTCACAATGCTGCTTAAAAAAAAAAAAAAAAAACCCTCCATATTTGTTTTTACTTCTTTCCCCAAGCTACCCTGAGCTGTAAATATGTTTTAAAGTGGGAAGGGGAAGGGGAAGAGGAAGAGGATCAGACATTAAATTAAACAACAAAATCCTAAAATAACCAAGTATCAACCTTTCCAAAAAGTTCATTTTGGGCATAATAAAACATTATACTATCTCATTTTAGTCCTCAATCATGTTTCTACAGATTTATAAAATATATTAATAAATCCTTTCAATTTAAGAAAGCTACACTGGATTGCAGGATTGCACGTAAACAATTCGATATTACTACCACTAAGCTAGTCACACTAGAATACACATTATGTCTTTCAATTCAAGCAAGGCTACTTTAAGACTATACACAATTACAAAGATAGCATTGAAAATGAGCCTTACCTTAATTCTACCTGACTACTAGACATTCCTACTACTGCTACAGAAAGTCTAAGCCAATTTACCCCCTTTTTTTTTAAACTAGAGTTAGCCTCTTCTATAAAATTAACACAGCTACCCATAAATATACGATATGCATAAGAGAATTCGATAAAGATTGAACAACGTTAAAAAAAATTCACTAGTTAGTAGAATATAATTTTTTAAATTTGCTACTTTATTAGATTAACTAGAGACTTCAATACAATTGATCATACGGATATATAACCAAAATTTATAAAAGTTACAGAACTGTAATAAAGAGCAAGGTCTTCTCTAAAATGTTAAGAGTGAATGAATTCAAATGGACACGAAAGTGCTTTTAATTGTTTTCCCAGTAACACAATGTGCTTTTGCTAGATCCAGAACAAACATAATTACTGTTTCATAAGATTTCATATAATTTGAAAATAGTATACAGATTTGCTTTAATCATGCTTTAAGTTTAACAAATACTTTACTTATAATTTTAAATGGAAAATAATAATCTACCAGTTCCCTACATCGGTTCACAGTTTCAAATGTCA